ATTGCGGCTAAAAACTTTGTTTTCTTTTGCTGTATAGGCTAATTTCTCTAAGATCGACAGCAATAGCAAAAAGCTGACTCAGATGTTGAAATGGGCGGGACCTTCAACACTGAAAAGTATTAACGACCCGGATCACTATGACGTGTTCAGTTATGTGTCAAAGTACGTATTAACTATAGATTCTCGGATGAATATCAACATAATTTTCATTCGACGTCATGTTTGTCGCGCACAGCATTGGGTGGATAACCGAGCAAATAATACTTGGTCAGAAATCAAACAAAGTGAGCCGAACAAATATGCTCTTCCAGCTTGATTTTGAACGAAAATATTGATGTTACATCCGGAACTGTAACTCTCAAAATCTGAATCATGGTCCCTTTTCTAGTTGCTGTACTTTTTCACGTAAGTAAACAAAAGATGAAAAGCCCCCTCGAGCTGATGGATTCGTCCAATCCCATCGCCTCACTTTTTCCTGAATGATGTATAGAGAGGACGTTGCATGGGAAAAACCTTGACAGTGGTATTTTAAGTCTCTTTTGGGGTGTCAGATTCATCGGAAAAGGAGCAAACAGCATCGTATCCCCTTGAAGGTGAAAAAGACTTATGCTTATTTTACGAGGCGTTACGTAAACGTTTCAAAGAGGCGCGGGGGAAAGTTTGCTTAGAGAGAGACAGATACCAGCCTACGTTGTAAGAAATCCTCTATAATTAACTCCTTTTGGCACAGAGGATCAGACAGACAAACAGAGTACAGACAGACAGACAGACAGACTGTTTAAACAGTTTTCTTTTCGTCACCAAAATGACTCTATCACGGAGCGTCTAATTCCGGTAGAAAATTATATTGTTTCGTGCAACTGTCTCCCTAGACTTGTGATGAAATTTTTTTAATTGACCATCTTACCACTTTCTTCCCTTTTTGCAGTGAAATAAAAAGCGGAGGTAAGATGCTCTTTGCTAACTTGTGTAATCGGCTGAAAGATGCCAAGCTAGATGAAACGCGTCGTTTTAGAAATTTTCATATGTTTTTGGGTGATAAAAGTTCCAAGGAAGATAAGAAGAATAAAGGGTCATTGAATATATCCATATATGTAAATCTTTAGGTCTCGCCATAGCTAACCAGATCTGTTCCAAGGCAGGCGCTGGGAATGGTAACGTCAACGCTGATGTTGGTCTTCAAACTGCACTTCACGTCGCACACGAGATAGGTCACAAGTAAGTGACGACGTTGCGTTGTTTGCATTTTTGCATTATGCCCGATGTCAGTATTTGTCTTCGTCTTGTACGCTCTCTTATATCAGATTCCTTTGTCGCACATTGGCTCGGGAAAACGAACCACCTGGATCTAATTTTATTTTTACATTAGAATCTTTTAACAATAACACGACGAGATTTGTCGGAAGTTTCGTGTGTCGTGACTTGAAAGTTAAGGTAGCACAATTAGCAGATGTATCGACAGTTTTGTTGCTACATGTTTGCTTGTTTGTTTTTTTCGGTTTTTGTTCTCAATAATTAATCGTCATTGCTAGCTCTTGTATGTAATAAGGTACGAATGAGGTAAGAAATGCTTGT